CCATTACTCTCGCCCATTTGCTCTCAAACTTTTTTTCATTTCCACGCGACCCCCCGACGCCTCCCCTTTGGTCGTCTGGACTCCCTAATTACATAAATGAATAATCAGATTCGCGTGCCAGGGATTAAAAAAATTCTTGCACTGTTTTGCATATCTGACAGGCACGTGTGGTACTTTATATATTTTTATTACTAACCATAGTGGAGCATCCGATAGCAAAAGGGTAGCTCTATATGATACATCCCTTAATAAAAAAAAATACGACACGATCCTAATTTCTCTCTCTGAACGATCGTAAAGATATTGTCCAAATTTGGTCGTATCGTTAACATAGTCATGTTGGACAAAATATATTCAGCGAGAATTCCAATCGATCTTGAGAAATTCGCTATAAAAATATTTCTGTTTACATACTGTTATATATGTCTGCTATGTGTATACGTGTACATATATACCGTGAAAAAAAGGTATCGCTCGAGCCTATGTACGTAAGACAATACCAGCCATCTTTTACAAAGTGGCTGCATACGATATGCTGGAGAATATTTTCCAGAAGACGTCTCAACGACGTCCCTCGAAGGACGTATAAGTATCACGTTATCGGACGTACATGTACTTGGAATGTCATCTAGAACGATGCGATATAATCAACTGTAAGGATGAATATATATATATATATATATATATATATTTTTTCGTTACATCTTTATGTCGTTCGTATTTTATACAGACAAACCTGGTATACTGGGTGTTGACTTTTAAAATAAAATTCACTAGTTTAGGTAAATACGAGGATCAATACTTTACTACGGTATTTGCTGGATGCTCCGCCATGAATATCAAAAGGGTACGGAACTTTATTATACACGATGAAAGACATGGTCTTTTGCATGCGATCTCGCGTTTCGTAATTATGTTGAGGATGGGAGAAAAAGGTAATTGAAAAGACGTTATAAAAAAATACCTAGATGGGTGGGCGTGTGGGGGGATCAAAGATTTTGAATAATAAAAAGATTGCCAGGGGAAAGATGACCTGATTGATAAAGAGGGTGTGCTTGTTGGAGATGTTGATACTACCGGAAGTGAAAGCAGGAAGGTAGGTATGGGATTATGGCTGGCATCCGGTGAGGCTGGGAGGGAAATCCGTGGCAGGGACGAATTTCAAATTCGGAAAAAAGGGATGGGACGTATCATTGGGGAGAAAAAAAAATCACTTATCAATCAAATAAATGTTCAGTCTGTGACGCGACCAATCTGGATGAATTTGCTGGGTGTATTTTGATCAATAAAAAAAAGAAAAAAAAAACGCGTAATCGAATTTTCCCGAGATTCCGATAATCAAATAAAAAGGACCCGTCCCGTACGGATTGTTAATTTATCAACGGAAATGGAACTGGAACTACCGATATGGAGTTTCGATCGCATGGCGCCAGTGAAATGGCGGACGCGTAAGACCAAAGGCCATAGTGGGTTTTCGATTGGAGTCTCAGTATGCTATTAGGAACTTTATCGAATTTACCGAACGACCGAGAGGACGGAAAAATGGTTATCGATTTTTTCGTTTTCAATCGCGTGGAAAGGGGTGGACACATGTCAGCGACGTAAAATACGGGGAGAATTCGATTTTTCTCATTTTTACGAAAATAGGACAAAATTTTTTCTAGCGATTTGCATCGTGCGAAATTTTTTTAACTTTTAAGTAAACATTGTATTATACGTAAAAAAAAATATTTGAAAGTTTCAAAAATATCTTTTCCACCCATTTCCAAATCCTTGTAATACAAAAATATAAAAAAAAATTCTTCTAAATCCGTCAGCCTAATTTCATAGGTGTATCTTCACATATGCTACTACGCACGTATGAATCTCAGGACCGGTACTGCGACAATGCACGAGCAGGAATGCAATGCGGTAGAAGTTGCAGTAAATGCACGGATGTTTCTCCAAGCTCCAACAAATCAATGGCGTGTCCTCGTACTGGCCACTACGTCTTCCCAAATGTCAAGGTTGCCGTAGAGCGCATCCACGTACGTACACGTGCATAGCACCCAAATCCAATTTGCGTCTGAATTACGTAAAATCGACTATTCCATTAATTCGAGAAGAAAGAAAAAAAATATCCCAAGCCACTAACGAGTATTTCCATAAAACTATTTCGCCAACCGC